ATTGTTTAGCTCTCTCTAAAGCCTATTAGAAAATAGTCTGAGAGAAGTTTGCTTGGAAGATACATAAGAAATTAGGTTTATAGTCCTTATGAAATAAAGAGATCTTATCTAGACAAGTTTTGCATACCCTCAAATATAAAGAGTTAATCTCTATAAAGATGACTTTGAACAACTACAATGGTCTAATATATCTATGAGAACACATCCAAAACATGTGTAATAACATTAAGTAGGTCATCCAAGAAGGTGATATTATATGCAAGATCCTCATTATGAACTTCAGGGGGTTATAATAAGCCTGATATAACAACATTAAGTCAAGTTCTATCATGTGTTCTAATGACCTATGTGTTAAAATTTTGTTATAATTTAGTACCAATATACTCGTCAATAGGAGCTCCATAGAACTCTTTAATGTTACTCAATCAGGAAGGAAATCCATTAGGGTATATTTAAAGAGGTTTAATGAAGAAATGCTCGAGATGGAGAATTGATCAAGTTAGTAGCCTTAGAGGCTCTGATAAGTGGAGTGGAAAAACGCTCTTTATAGAATGATTGATATGTCTTACTAGTTAGAAGCTTGTTAAAGGTGAAGCTAGTCATGAAGAATTATATACGGGTAGGAAAAACCATTATGTTAAGGCATGAGCCTCCTAATTTCTACTATAAGGCTGAGGATAAGAAACCTTTCAAACAAAACCACTCTCCCAACAGAGGTAATAATTTCAAGAAAGGTAAAAAAAGGTTAGTGAGGAAGGATGTGCAATACCCTAAAAAGAGGTGTACAACTCCCTTGAATACGACCCTTATAGAAATTTTTATAGCCATTAAAGGGAAAGACTTTGTTTAATATTCACCTTGTATAGTATCGCCTCCATACACATGCACCTTTAAAAAAATTTCTTTATTCTATAAGGACAAAGGGTAAGATATGAAAGATTGTTTCACGTTAAAGAAATAGATTGAGAGGCTAGCAGCTAAAGGTTATTTAAAATAATTTATTAATAGATGTGCCCATGTGAAACATGGAAGAAAAAAGCTCAGCCAACCTATTCAAGCCTTGCCTAAGATCAATATGATTTTAAAGGGCTTGTCGATGAGCGAAGAGACTTCTAATGGAAAGAGGAAGTATGAAAAACAGGCTCTCATAACAACTCATCAACAAGCTAAATGGTATGAACCTATCACATTCACTCTAGATGATAGAGATGGGGTGATTTACCCTTATGAAGATGTACTATTACTTTGACCTTAATAATATCAATGGAAACATATTTAGTTATATAAATTAAAAAATAAATTTTCTTAATTAAAACAAAATCTCCAATTAAAATCCAACATAAACTCTAGTTGCTAAGATTATTACTATAGCTTTATTAATAATATCAATTGACTAAAAAACTATATGATCGCATCAATTAAATAAAATCTATCTCATTTCAAATAATATTTTTAAATACGATAAGTAACCCTTAAGCTTAATTTAAACCCTAATTTCTTTAATTCAAACCTAATTGATTCCATAAATAACATCAATTGCATAAAAACACACATAATTGCTTCACTTAAGGCAAAAATTATCTTAACATCAACAAAATATTCAATTATGAAACACAATACAAATAATCATAAATCAAAACTTAAAATTTCTCAATTCAATAATGAAACCCATAAAACTAAGAGATAATGCAATTATTTTACCTTGATTTTTTTAATGGCTCAATGGTGATTCCACCTATTTTCATAGTAAAGAGGTTGTTAATCAAGCTTGGGTTAATGGTTTGCAATAACAAAATAGTATAAAGATTCGTAAAGATGAGAAAAAGATGATTCTAGTGTTTTGGTGGAGGATTATAGGCTGCTTTCGATTATTGGAGTCTATTTTGATAGTGGTTTTTTAAGGTTTTTTTTCTTTTGAAAGAGTAGCAACTATAAAAAACAGGTGAGTGTTTAAATACCCATCATAACCACTATTCTGAATTGCAATTTCAATCATAATTGTGATTCTAAATAATGATTTTGTTTCAAATCGTAATTTGGAATAACAATTGTGTTAACCTATGTCAATTCCCCCAATACGTTTTCAAATTGTGTCATTCCCCTAAAATTTTATATTAATGGTTTTATTTTTCTAAAAAAGATTATTATTTTATTGATTTTGTCCAATATCATGTGATTGATGGCATTCTTTAAATTTGTCCTTTAATTTCATGGAAATGGCTTAAATTTACATCAACATCTTAGCATAAATTATATAGCAAATAATGTCTAATATTCATTAAATGAAATTGAAAGAAAGCAAAATTGATGATTTCTTAAAATCCAAGATATGTAACTAAAAGGTTATTTTATGTTTGTGATAGTAGTTAATTAATATATTAAAGTGCTTTGATTTCTTCTTCTTAATCTAAGAAACTTTATACTTATAATAGAAGCTTGAATACCTATAAAAATAATCCCAATTGGGGGATTTAATCTAATGATAAAGTCAACATATTTATAGAAAATCTATTAAATGACTTAAGAAAATAAATAATTTAAAAGAGTTTTAAATTTAAAAAACAAAGATGTTTATTCTTAAGTTTTAAGTTGGTCAATGCTTTGAAATCTTATATTTATCTTAAGAGAAGAAAAATTATGAACCTTTTATCTGGATAGTTCAGGGGGGTATTTATACCCCCTAAACCTTATCGTTTTCGGATAAGAGAAAGACTAGAAAGTCCTCTATTTTTAGTGATATTAATGGAACATAAATATTTTTTATATATCATTAATGAGATAGTAAATATGATAGGTTCCTTAAAAGACCTTGCACATACTTATAAACATAGAAAAATCATTATCTTAATATAAATGATTATTTTAAATGAAGAGGCATGGTGATTTATCATGTCTTTAATACTTATATTGTAGAGGATCGTCCAAAATCAGACATATAACCTTAGAGCTTAGTAATGTCCAGATTCTTTAGGCTTGACATGTTTGCTAGAATTAGGTTTCCTTAGATTTAGTTCCTTGGGTCTGATATGTTTGCTAGATTCACGTTTCCTTGAACTAACTGACCACCAAATCCAAGTTCTTTGAGTCTGACATGTTAATTAGACCCATGTTTTCTTAGACTTGGTTGACTACTAACTCCAAGTTTTTTAGGTTTGGTATATTTATCAGACTCATGTTTTATTAGACTTGACTAACTGTCAAGTTCAAGCTCTTTTAGGTTTGACATATTTGTCAAATTCACGTTTCCTTGAACTTGACTGATTATCAAGTCCAAGTTCTTTGGGTAAGCCAACCAAGTCCATAGAAATACGGGTTTGGCATGTTCGCTAGACCCACATTACCTTAGACTTGGTTGGTTGTCAAGTTGAAGTTTCTTAGGTCTAATATGTTTGTCAAACTCACGTTATCTTAGACTTGGTTGTCAGCGAAGTCCAAGTTTTTTGGGTCTAGCATGCTTGTCAAACCCATGTTATCTAGGGTTTGGGTGATTACTAAGTTCAGGTACTTTAAATCTAACATTTTCACCAGAGCCGTGTTATCTTGGACTTGGTTGACCATCAAATCCAAGTTCATCAGGTTTAACATGTTCGCGAGACTCACATTTCCTTAGGTTTAGTTGTTGACATTCAAGTCCAAGTTTTTTAAGTCTGATGTGTTTTTCAAACCAATGTTATCTTGAGTTTGGTTAAATAACAACTCCAAATTTGTGGGAGTTGATATATTTATCATATTCATGTTACCTTAAATTTAATTGATTGACAAGCTCAAGTAAAATATGTAAGATCTATTTTATTTTAAAAAAATTATTTATAAAAATTTTAACTAAAAATTAATTGATCAAGAATAATGTGCCAAATTTTATAAGATAAAGGCATGAAGATAGAATGAAGATAAACGTATATATAGCTCTTGATTTTTTTTAATTGAAATACATCTTTTAATTGTTATGTTAAGCCCTTCATTGGTGAACAGTTAAAAATGAAAAAAAAGTCCAACTGCATTCGCGAGACCATTGGCTTGAAATGCTTTTCAACATGTAAATGAAGATTCCATAGTTAATATATACGAATATAGTGATGGCAGCTAGATCATAATATTTTATTATAAAAAGCATTCAAAGAAGATATTTAAATAATAGATTAATTATAAGATAATGTGATAAATCAAATTATAGTACTTATGAACACCATTCTCTTATTATAAAGACGTCATCCTACTCGTATAATAGCACTTCAAAATTCAAAGTTGTTTGATAAAAACTTAAAAAAGTTGATTTAATGGTTAAAGAGAGATATTTTCTATCCTTTAATTTTTTATTTTTTTAAGTTAAAGCATCTAAGATAATTTGTTAAATTACTCTGAATATATGCAATATGGAGGGTGTGTTCTAAAAGAGAAATTTAATCTTAATTAATGCACAAGTTAATCTAATAATACTTTATATCATAAAAAAATCATTTAGTAAAAAGAAAAAAAATCTTATTTAATTTTAAAGATATAATTAGAAAAAATACAAGTACACTCACTCTTTGTTAAAATTTTAATACAAACTTTAAAGTTTTTATTTTATTTTTATATTTTCATTTAAAATTATTGTAATAAAAAATAAATAAACTTTAAAAATTAATTTAGAGAATATTGGAGAACATGGTGCAAACTTTATTTTTAAAAAATTAATTTTTTATTAAAAATTAAAATTTTTATTTTTTTAATCTGTTTAATTGGTTGTTTTTAAAAAAAGTTTAAAAATTAAAAATATTATTTTAATATTAATCGGTTTAATTGGTTGTTTTTAAAAAAAATTTAAAATTTAAAAATATTATTTTAATATAAAAAATATTTTAAAAAATAAATTAATTCACACTAAAAACAGAAATTAGATGATTCTTTTGACGAGCTGTTTTTACCGTTAGTACCGGAAGGCGTGGGAATTTAAAACGTGCACTATTAAAAAAAAAAAACCCTACAGACAAAATAATTAACAAAACACCACACGAAACCTTAAAATCCAATACAAATCCAAAAAACGACCGTAACGCGAACAAGTCACCAATCAATCATCTCTCTCTTAAGACCAATCTTACCCGTCTCTCTCCGTAACAAAGTCCATTCCTTTTCTCTTCCTGTCTCTTGATGGGAGATAATTATAATTCGTCTCCCATCACGAGCCAAACCCTAACCCCATCTCAAAATAAACCCTAATTAACCTTCCAAATCCAAATTTCACGATGTTTTCGTGGAATTTTGCAAAATCGGCGGAGGCTGTGCTGTCGCGGTTGGCGGTGAAGAGGCTGTGCAAGTTTGTATTGAAGAAGAAATTAGGGCAGTTTATATTAGGAGATATTGATCTTGATCAGCTCGATGTTCAAATCAGTGAAGGCACTATCCAACTCAGTGATCTTGCTCTTAATGTTGATTGTCTTAATGAAAAGGTAAAGCGCTTAATTTAAGTCTCGTCAAGCTGGAACTTTTGCTCGTTAAAGTTTATTTGGCTGAAATCTTTATTGACATTTTGTTATTATGCTTTTTTAATTAATTTTAGCGGAATTAACAGCTGGTTATTTTAGTTAGTTGCTTGAAATTAGGTAACTTTTAGGGTCCTTTGTTTAATAATTTGTTATATTTGTTTCCGATTTTTTTTTCAATTTTGGTTTTTGAATTGTTAATTGAGGTTTGAAGGTTGTTTTCTAATTGAGGTAATTTTATTTGTTTGGATTGAGTTTTCTAGTTTGGGGTAGCGGCATCAGTGATGATAAAAGAAGGGTCAATTGGTTCATTGTCGGTTAAAATGCCATGGATGGGTAAAGGTTTTCAGGTTGAGATGGATGAGCTTGAACTTGTACTTGCACCCTGTTTGAAGAAAAGTAATACACCAACTGGAGACGAGACTGGTAGTTGTAGTCAAGATAGTAGACATAGGCAGAAGGGTGTGGGAAAGTTTGGGAATGATTTGATGGAAAACGCTGCAAAATCTAGTCATGTTGATGTTCATGAAGGTGTAAAGACAATTGCAAAGATGGTGAAGTGGTTTTTGACGAGTTTCCATGTAAAGGTTAAGAAGCTGATTGTTGCATTTGAGCCGTATTTTGAGAAGGATGAAAAGAAGGTTGGGTGTCAAGAAACTTTGGTCCTCAGAGTATCTGAAATAGAGTGTGGAACCTGTGTTTCTGAAGACCCTAACTCGAGCTCTGACCATGGAGTTGAGAACTTTCTTGGGATAAGTCATTTAATGAATCTTGTGGAGTTTCAAGGAGCAGTACTTGAACTTCTCCAGACAGATGGCGTGTCAGATTCAAGTTTTAGTGAGCAGTTTTTTGGGCATTGCCGATCAAATCCTACAACTCCTATTTTGACAGGGAAAAAAGGTGGATTTTCAGGGAATTTGAAGTTAAGTATTCCTTGGAAGAATGGTTCATTAGACATTCGCAAATTGGATGCTGAGCTATGTCTTGATCCTATAGAATTAAGACTTCAACCAAGCAAAATCAAGTGGTTCCTACTTTCATGGGAAACTTGTAAGCATATCGATAAAGATGGTGGGGGGGATGCACATTATAGATCAACAGAATCTGTCTGCTTCAACTCCTCTTCTCATTTCCATTCATCATTAACCAGTCCTACTGCGTTTGCTATTGATAATTCAATCCCTGTTCATGGTAGTTTTACATCTGCCATCTCATCTTTTACCGGGAAAGAATCAGTCAGTGAAGCAATGCTATCTGGATCACATCTTATATCTGACTGGGTGCCAAATTCTATTCAAAACGAGAAAGATGGTATCCAAGAAGAATTAGACCTTGGAGCAAGGTTAGTGCATCTTTCTTGCTTTTGGGTTCCACTCTTTTTTTTATTGCTAATATGGAATTATCATACACAAGCATCTGATCTTATAAATACTATGAAGTGCTTATGAAATTTGCACCCTTCCCTTAGTAGTTTGGGATTTGAAAAATTCATTTTGAGATGTAATGTTTGGTGAAAAGGATTGTAATCCTGCAAATAAATATTAATCTATAATGATTGTAATCCTGCAAATACATATTAATCTATTTGTCCATAAATCATTTTCATCTTTAACTTCGTTTTTTTTTTCCCTGTTTTGGTAATGCTGACATTTCTTGGCCAATTTTCAGTGTGGACCAGTTTTTTGAATGTTTAGATGGAATGAGAAGCTCACAATCAGCTTTGGGAAGCAGTGGGATGTGGAACTGGACATGTTCTGTTTTCAGTGCATTAACTGCAGCATCCAGCCTTGCTGCTGGATCTTTTCATATTCCTTTTGGTATGTGCACTTGTTTCCATAAGTGTGCCATTTTGTGCATTCATTGTTGCCCAAATTTGAGAGCTACTTATGCACAATCTCATCATATATGTTGTTCCTCCTGTAATATCATGGATATAACATTTTTCCTGCATTTTCATATTAAGATATAACTTGCATTCTCTTTTAGGATCTATTTTATTTTTCCATCAGGCATCATATGGTTTTATGGAGTACATCTAGCTAACACATGCTTTCTTAATACTATAAAGTGCATCCATTCAGTTCTTTTGATTTGGTGGACTGAGGATTTTTTTGTGTTCATATCTTTTCTTGCAAGTGATGTTATTTAGTTAATGCTAGGCACATGAGATATTCATTGCTACGTTTCTAGTGTAACATTTATATTCGATGATGCTTGTTTTGTCATGATAAGGTTTTCAGACTTTAACTGTGATCTTTTTCTGGTATGTGATTTGTATTATAATTCTATTTTCCTTCTTGACCATGTACAGAAGATCAGCATGTTCAAACGAACCTTAAAGCGACTTTGGCTGGAATTTCTATCTTGTTATCCTTTCAGGATGATGATCAGGAAGACTTGTATGGTCAAAAGAGTGATCAGAATACTGTTGATTTGGAGGTTCATTGTCTGGGTGCAGAGTGCAAAGATATTTTTGTTGTTTTGCAGGTAAAATTTTCCTTGAAGAATTAGAATTCTTTTACAATCTGCTTTGCTGTTTGCTCCTTATTGATTTTTTATGGTATTCCTCTATCTAACTTGAAAATTTGACAAGGTCAACAGGTATGTCCTCAAGAAAAGAGGTTTGAAGGAACAGTGAAGTCTATTGAGGTTGCTGATTACTTGTACAATAAAAATGATGCCATGAATCTTCACTTGCACGATTATAGCAGTGATAGCAACAGTGGAACTGTTTTGATTAAAAATCTGCAAGCTGAAGTTCAAGGTGCTCTCCCTCCATTTCCTTATTTGGATGAATCAAACACATTAGTTGTACCAGGAGTTCCATCTGGAAATGCAACCAAAGTGAAATTGCTCGGTACCTCAGGTGTCACTCGGTGCCAATTTACTGTAAGTTCTAACTCGTCAGATAAAAGGTTTACAGGGACAAAGTCATTTTCAGTGCAACTGCCACTGTTAATATTCTGGGTGAACTATGGTTCAGTAAACATGATACTGAGTCTCCTGAAGGATGCTGAAAAATCTGTTGAAATGAGTGCCCAGAGGAGTGGATTTCCATCTGTCAATAAGAAGTGTGAATTTTCTCATGGAAATATGAAAAAAGGTTCAAGTTCTGGGGTTTCAACGTTAACTTGTACAGAAAATTTGCAAGGTAGTATATCAATCCCTTGTGCAAGAGTAATACTATGTTTCCCATTTGCAAGTGGTGGAGATGTTGGAGGCCACTCTTCCTGGAATCAATTTATTGCTTTTGATATTTCTTCACCATTGACTTTGGAAGAGGGAAAAGTTCTAGAAAATAGTCTAACATTGAATTCCTGTTCGCGGAAAAGGCAACCTCCAAGGGCCACTGGTTCTTTGCATTTGAATGTTGGTAATCTCGAAGTTTATTTGGTCAATCCAGCATGTAAGAATGATGGAATTAGCTCATCTACTGTAACACCAAGGCGTAAATTTTGTGCGCAGAAGATTGTGTCTGTCAGTAATAGAGCTGGTTCTCTATGTGCAATTAAGATGCTTTGGCAGGAAGACCCTGTGACTGGTCCTTCTATTGCTGAGATAGCCAATTCTTTGCCAACTCCAGAGAGCAGAAGAAAATTCATGGTGAAAGGCTATGAGTTTGCTAGTGCAACTGCTGTCAAAGATTTAGGAGATTTAAATTCGCGAACCAGAGAGAAGATAATTTTGAGCTCTGCATTCTTCTTTCACGTTCATCTCTTTTCTGTTATGGTTGATGTTAGCAGTTCTCAGTACAGTAATCTGCATTGCCTTCTAGATCAGATGATTAATGGATTACCAGGCATGGCCTGCGATGCAGTAAGTGTTGGGGAATTGCCATCTGTCAGTCCAACTTCAATTCTTGTGGAGTGTGAATCAGTAGATTTTTCAATTAGACCAGATACAAAGGATGATATAAAAAGTTCATTACAGAGTGAACTTCCTGGATCATGGCATTATTTAAAATTGAAAATCCGAAAATTTGATATGTTGTCTGCCTCAAATATTGGAGGTATCAGGGGTGCCAATTTCTTTTGGCTGGCCCATGGAGAAGGTAAATTGTGGGGTTCCATCACTGGAGTTCCAGATCGAGAGTTTCTTCTGATTTCTTGTAGCAACTCCACTATGAAACGTGGAGATGGAGGAGGTTCCAATGCATTGTCTTCTATGTTGGCTGGTTCTGAAATTATACACGTATGGGATCCAGAGAGTTCACGTGATTTCACATCTGTTACTGTCAGATGTGCCACAATTATTGCTGTTGGTGGTCGCTTGGATTGGCTGGATGCAATATCCTCCTTCTTCACTTTGCCATCTCCTGAAGTTGAGAAGGCAAGTGATGAAAGTTTGTCAAAGGGGGGTTTGAATGCCCCTTCTGGAACTTCTTTCATTCTAAAGTTGGTTGATATTGGTATAAGTTACGAGCCTCACTTGAAGAATTCGGTAATTGGGGCTCTTCATTCCGAGACTGGTTCCTTGTATTCCAAAGAAGAAACAGGTGAGCCACATGTTGCCTGTCTATTAGCTGCATCTTTGTTTTCACTTTCCAACACAACAATGGAAGATTCTATTGATAGTGATTACAAAATTAGAGTGCAAGATGTGGGGCTGCTTCTTGGTGCCGCACATGATCATGGTGGGACTTATAGTGTGGAATATCTTCATAAGATGGGTTATGCAAAAGTTGCTCATGAGGCCCTGTTTGAAGCAATTTTGAGAACTGACTGTAAGAATGGCCTTCTCTGGGAGCTAGAATGCTCAAAATCCCACATTTATGTGGAAACTTGCCATGACACAACTTATGGTCTGATTCGCTTGGCTGCACAATTCCAAGAGCTTTTTGCCCCTGACTTGGAGGAATCAGTTGTGCACTTGCAGAATAGGTGGAATAGTGTTCGTCAGGCCCAAGAAAGAAACAAGTTAAATGATGAAGGCGGGATTTCCAATCATGATTGTGTTCCATCAACTTCTCAAGTGCACACCCCTACTGCAGATACGAAGAGTAAACTTGGGGTGGCTGGTTTAATGGATGAGATATGTGAAGACGCATTTCACTTGCATGGGACTCAAGCATGCCAGCTTGATTCATACGGATCAGAAATTCATGTTTCACCTGATGAAAGTCTCCTTGGAGAGGCTTGCAGCCTCAGTGTTGAAACTCCAGACTTTTTCTTGGAAGATCTCTCTTATGATGGGTCAGTGCCTTTGGCAGGCCTGGAAAGTAGTCAAACCACATTTCTACAGAGTGGTTCTTTCCCAGAATTTATAGAAGGTTATTACTTGCCTGATTTATGCCCTTCGCCAGAATTGTCAATAGGCAGGCAAACACCATCTGAGAAACTTAAATGCAAATCCAAGAATTTTGACGATGCAGATCATGGAAGAGGAAATGGTGGATGGTACGGGGATGCCCCTTTAAGCATTTTTGAAAATCACATTTCTGGAGCAAGTGGTGAAGCTAGTGTGAATCAGGTTTTGGAAGACCAGCTTCCAACTATGTATTCTGATGATTTTGGGAAGGCCACCGGAAGAGTGCTTTTTAAGAACATTAATGTGAGCTGGAGAATGTATGCTGGTTCTGATTGGCAGGTACATAAAAGGAATGGCGATCCTTCTAGTCATACTTGTGGACGGGAGACAACTGTTTATCTGGAGCTTGCATTATCTGGAATGCGATTTCAATATGATGTCTTCCCAGTTGGTGGGATATATGCGTCTAAGCTTTGTCTTTCAGTTCAGGATTTTCATCTTTATGATGGGAGTAAAACCGCACCTTGGAAACGGGTACTATAACAAAACTCAAATCCATTTTATTTAATTATTTTGTCAATCTCTTTTTTATTTACATACTCATATATATATATATACACACATACATATATATATATAAATGGTGTTTGAATAGTTTTTTCCTTTTGAAATGAAAGATACTAGGATATTATCATTCAAAAGATCATCCTAGGGAATCCACTTCAAAAGCATTCAAGCTGGACTTGGAAGCTGTCAGACCAGATCCTCTAATTCCTCTTGAGGAGTACCGGTATGTGTTTTGCAAGCTGTCATGGTTATTGAGTATGGATTTAGTAGAAGCCTGGTGTAACATCTCTGTTTTGGAAAGCACTGCCATACTATTATCTTAAAAATTCTTCACTATGCAAGGATTGATGTGAGCTTTTTTTTAAAAAGCTGCAAAGAATTTTGGCTGATAGTGTTCATGACGGGCCAGGAATGGAAATGTAGATGTTTTGTGTAATTCTTTTGTTTCATAGGGTTGGCAATCTACCCTAGCCTTTAAATTCTCTTGTTATCTCTTATGATCATGCTCAAAATAACAAATGTTGTACATGTTGGTCCCCTGCATCACAATTTCACAATCACACTTCATGAACTAGAGTCAACCTTATAACCCTGGTTTTTATTTTATATAATTTGTTATAGAGAAACACTGTTTATAGAAGTGCTCCCTCATTGTTAATGGTCATATTTATTCCTTCCAGGTTACGAATAGCTCTCCTTCCTGTGCTATTGCATCTTCATCAAAGCCAGCTTGATTTTCTCATTAGCTTTTTTGGGCCCAAAAGCTTGTCCGCAGGCCAGTCTTCAGACCAAGATCAAAACTCAGACGGTGCAAAGACTTCTGCAACAAATAGCAGTAATCTTGCAGGACATACAATTGCAAATGAAGCATTGCTTCCCTTTTTCCAGGCAAGTAGGATAGGGGCCATGCATGCCATTTATCAAGTGACATGATATCATTGCATTCTATTTCCTTTTTGTTAAACTACTATTTTGAGTGCGATCATGTGAACAGGTAAGGGAAATGGCTAGCCAGTACTCAACAGATTGTTTTACTTGTGTCCTTTTACTCTGATGGCCTGTGTTTTCAGTGAATAATTGCATGAAAAAAGATGGAATGGAAAATGGAATTGACTTTGAATAATTGAACTAGGCCATGATTTTCTTTATTTTATCTGTTTTGAGTTTTTTATTATATTCCGAATTTGATTTTCTGAAGTCAATTTTTTTATGCCCTGATCACATGAACTTATTTCAGAAGTTCGACATATGGCCTATTATTCTTCGAATTGATTACAGTCCCCATCATGTTGATCTGGCAGCATTGAGTAGTGGGAAGTACGTGGAACTTGTGAACCTTGTCCCCTGGAAGGTGAAAATTTTGTTTTTTGAATTAATTAAATTTTGTTTGGTAATTAAGTGTGAATATAAGGTGATGGAAGAAATCAGTTTTGTGGACAGTTCCTGCTTACTGGCTCCAACTATTTAGGTGTTTTGCAGTCCACTTTTGTACATTTGCTACTAGGTTTTGTGATTGATTCCTGATAAAATGACTAGGGCATCATTTAAGAAGTCTGCCATTCTGAATTAAACTTTTAGAAAATGCAACCTGATGGTTTCAAATTTCGTGTTTGTACTAAAATTTTTCAGTAATTGTCTATGCTGTGGGTCATATAGCATTCAAGTGGGGGATTGGGTAGGGCCCAAGCTAATTGTTACATTGTGTCTATCTTGCTATTGATCTAAAGTCCGTGGCCTTTTGTACTCCATTTAATGGCTATCCAGTAATAGATAAAGGTCTCTTGCATGTGAACATAAATATGGCAGGGATTTTTTTCTTTTTGCAAAGATGGCCCCAGACCAATAATTCTCACTTCTTAAATATTGTTGCTTCTCAAATCATTAATTTTTAAACATTAATTTTCTATTATTACAAAACTATTGTAAGCCAATTCACTAGACAAAAAATACTGAACGAAATATAAGTTTTGGGAGTTTCCAGTTGGATGTTCTAATCACCATTAGTAAATTTTTGGATGCAGGGGGTTGAACTACAGCTAAAACACGTTCATGCTGTTGGTGTCTATGGCTGGGGCAGTGTATGTGAAACAATTATAGGGGAGTGGTTGGTGGAGATTTCTCAAAATCAGGTTTTAGTAACATTCTCCATGTGTATTGAGAACTTTATGGTTATATTCTTCATATCAACATGTTTTATGATATCTATTTATCTCTCCTGTATATGTAGATACATAAAATTTTGCAAGGTCTTCCTACCATCCGGTCCTTTGTTGCTGTGGGTTCTAGTGCTGCAAAGCTTGTTTCCTTGCCTGTTGAGAGCTACAGGAAGGATCATAAAATAATCAAGGGAATGCAAAGAGGCAAGTCATGTTGAGTTAAACATTTGTTTGGTCTCTAGCAGTAAAATCTGGGTTGTGTTGCATTATGGTGTAAATGTTACCAGATCATTGTTTGTGTCACATGATTATTTGAGGTGCTTATATTGCATGTTTGTGGTGAATGTCTCTATTTGTCATGTCTATATATCATGGCTAAATTGGTTTGGTGTTTAGTTGCAAGATAAATTTTGATTGTGAAATTTTTGGCAGGTAGCTTAATAATAATAAGAACATGCTCTAGCTGACCAGCATCTCAACAATTCTTTTGGCCCTATACTGAATTCTCTATATTTCAATTATTCTATGGAACTGTTTTCCTCCTTGACTAATTAATTCGTGTTTTTGCATACATTTTGGTTAGAATGTATTGTCTCCACTTCGAAGTTTAATACATGAAAGTAATCATTCTTGGTGATTCTCCATTCAGGTACATTTGCATTTCTAAAACGTATATCACTTGAAGCTGTTGGACTTGGGGTGCATCTGGCAGCTGGGGCTCATGATATTTTGCTCCAAGCAGAATGTATTCTTACAGGTGTTCCTTCTGCTCCTTTATCATGGTCTTTACCGGGAAAAACTAAAGCAAATGTAAGGTGCAATCAACCAAAAGATGCCCAGCAAGGAATTCAGCATGTAAATTCCTCAACTTGCCTTGCTTTTTGCATGGTTGCTCCTTGTGCTTTTTGTTAGGTATCACGCAGTTTTGGGTGCCTTTTTATTTTTTATTTTTTTTGTTAGGGACTAGACATGTAGAAATAAAAGATTGGGAATTTATGGCCGTAATGACCATCATACATTGGGTTTGGTTTATGATCACAATGGAACGGTGCAAGAGGATCCACATAGCCAACCCAACTAGTTTGAGATCCATGGCTTTTTTATTGTGAAGGCCATTTTACATCCATGCGATTTAGGAAATAAAACAATATATTTGTTGCTGTCAAATAAAGCTTTTGTTCTGTCAAATTCACAGGCGTATGAGAGTCTCAGTGATGGACTGGGAAAATCTGCTTCTGCTTTAGTGCGAACTCCATTTAAAAAATACCAGCTTGGAGCCAGTGCAGGGTCTGCCCTGGCAACTGCTGTGCAGGCTGTTCCTGCTGCTGCCATAGCTCCTGTTTCTGCTTGTGCAGGTGCAGCCCATTATGCTCTTCTTGGCCTTAGAAATAGGTCAGTTCCTCTTCCTTTTACCTTTTAGTTCCAATTATGATTAGATCTAAGTTATTTTGCAGTTTATTAAGATGCAATCTTTTCTATCATATATTTACTCTGGTGAGGATGCTTTTGCAGTCTTGACCCTGAACACAAAAAAGAGTCCATGGAGAAATATCTGGGTTCCACAAAGCCAAATGATTGAGATTGATTGAAATGCATGATGAGACCATTGCATGACAAATGGATAGAGAAGGATTCTTGCTGCTCTCTTTCCAAGAGAAGGTCACGAGAGACCTCGGTTGTCACTATAGCCGACATGTACAAAGTAAGTTTGAACTCTACAGCCTGCTTCTTTTGAACACTTTGTATAACACACTAAATAAATGGATCTTGCGTTAGTGGAATGAGAAGTAACTCAATGTCATCGGTCCGGGGAAAAATGACATTAGAAGCTCTGGTTTTGGCATTAGCCAAGCCCTGCTGATGATTTTTCAGCTGTGAAGGTGTTGATGTCCATGAATGGCGTTGATTAACTTCATCTATTTTTTATTGCTGAAGTATCAAGGTTTATAATTTATTACTTTCAGTATCAAATTTTTATGTGGTAGTTAGAAATACAAGAATGAATTTATATGGTTTATAACATATCCGTCCATTGTTTGATGCACAGTCTATGCTCTATAGTAGTATATAAAGTCAAACGACAAGTGTTTAGGTTTCTAAACGTCCTCCTTGTTCCAATTAAAAAAGAAAGCAGCCATCCTGTATGTTGTTGTGACTTGTTTATTCCCCAAGCTCCCTCATGTCCTCGCTATTAGAGTCATTTACTCTTTATCTTCTTTTTTTGGTTGCAGGTGTGCAGTTTAACAAAACCATCAAACAGATTCTTTTCCATCTGGATGAATTAGTAACTTTGTACATTTTGTAAATAGCCATTGATGCTTGTAAGATTTTAGCCATACAGATTGAGAATTGTAATTTATCTGAATTGGTTAGCTGGTGATAGAGAAGGTATGTTGTTTCTATTTGCTGTACATAATTCATTGAATGCTTACAAGAATCAAAAGGTTTGATCATTTTATGTAATTATTGGAAGTGAGATTTTTTAGTTTTATTTTCGTGTGCGTGTTGCAGTTAAACCTATTTTTGGGTCTCCAGCAGCATATTTACTTTACGTTATTGGCATGCAAATTCTGAAACTCGAAAGAATTATTATTATTATTATGGAAAGCTTCATTTTAAAGAAAATACATTCAAGAATCATGCAAGACAAGAATTTACCATCAAAATGTGACTATAAATTTAGATTGAATGCGAGGAGGGAGCACAGTGTAGTAGTACTACTCAAGCCATGGTTAAATTTACCATCACGTTTTCTCAATTGTCTCATCGTTCAAGTAGCGAGTTGATACATCAAGTCCTACTACGTGTATTGACAAACTTTCATGTAACCTCAAATCATGAAGACAACTCTCGCCAAGAAGACTCTTCAACACTTGCCATCAAATGCCCGAAAAGCACCATGCATGCGTGGTGTCTGAAAAGCACTTTGCTATATATCTTTTTTCGGTATGTATTCAGGTAAAATTATCGTTGTGTAAATTACTAAATCGGATTTATAACCGCCCAGTAAATAAATTAAGGAAAAGTGTGATTTAATCAAATTTACAACCCCTCAGTAAATAAATCGAGGAGAAGTGTCTTCTATTAACACCCAGTTGACGAATAAGACATGAATGGTGCAGCTCATGTTAGTAAATGAAAATCATAATCCGATGGTTACATTTATAAATACTAGTTTTAGTGGAAGTTCTTCAACAGCAAACATTTGTACATAGCAAAACAGCCACATACCACTCTTTCCATGTGGGGAGGTACAAGGGAGACGTGTTACTGTTTTTGAGTCGAATGAAAAAGTAAAGCTACAAAGAATAACTAAAACAAAAGATTGCAAGTCAACGAAATCCCAGCTCTGTTGCTGTATCACAGCAACGATTCCCTCCCTCGAAAAAAATTGCCTCTTTCGCTGTGGATAGCATTATGTTTCTTTGCCTTCACAACTTATCCCTCCTTCAATCAACTCTTCCTGCAACATGTAAAGAAGCCAAATTGGTTCTTAGTGCATATCCTAACTTCAGATACCATTTTTCAGTATAAATTGGCAAACTCGAACTTCACATAACCAAAAAATAAAAAGGAAAAGGAAAAGGAAAGAAAGAAAGAAGAACAGAATTCTGTCACACCTGTGTTCTCTTGTTAGTTAGTCCTCCTTCATGAACAAAAACAGGCCTCTCTTCAACAACTCTATCCAAAACCCCACGGTTCCTATCACTTTTCTTAGGTGTAAAGTGACCCCTCTTTAACCTCAGCTTCTCCTTCCACCAGCCTGAACTCTTTGGTGTTGGGAAGGCATCACTATACTCATCATCGACAAGTAATTCATCTCGTAAGGTCATTTTTCGCAGTTGGCTGTTTGTGCAGTTATCCTTCAAGGGCAACATCGTGCCCTTGAAGAAGATTTCATCTGCAGGAATCATGGAGTAGTTTTTCACCGAGAACTCGAAATCTGTGGAAACCGGTGCTTCTCTATAGCTGCTTTCGTACTTGATGGCTTGTTGTGCATCCACAAAATCATTGGAGAAGGAGATTCTTGGATCAATAGAGGAAGTGTAAAAGCTTTGTTGCTCACTGTTGAACATGTTTAAGCATGCCAAGAACTTTCAAACCAACACCCTGAGTCTTTTTAAGTCGTTACTTCTCTTTCACTTTTAGAATCCACATGTACATGCTTGCATTTATATAGAGGTGAGTTTGTTTTATGCGTGTGCTCAGCAGACATCTCATGTTACTTAGATTTGTCAGTGTGTGGTTAAGACGAGGATAAAACAATTTGTATTCCAAATATTTTATTACTGTATCAGTGATCAACTGTTTAAAGTTAACATTATTGACTCTAATGTGTGTTCATTAGGTTTCATGCAACTGTTCAAGTGATGCTTGACGAACAGATAAAGCCATTCTGACCCTACTAGTCTGCCTGATGTGGCCAGATAAAGCCAATATCCGTTTTACAAGGACTCGTAATCATTTAACTATTAACTACGAAGAGCATTTTGCGGACACCAATGGCACAAGGCCCTTTTCCTAAGGGACGAATCCAGGATGAGAGACGCGGGGAGCCAAGACTTTCTCTCTTCAAGAAAACAGGGATTACTAGTTAAATATGCTCAAAAATACGTTTTTTTCAGAGCCAAAAATGAAGGATTCTAGTTTTTCTTTTCGAAGATCGAAATACCTTTTGTTTTCATGAAGAAAGTGGACCAATTTCATACCATGAATTGAAGGGGGAGAGAGCCAAAACAAATGTCAAGGAAAGGTGATTTTTTATTTTTCACATTTAATCAGTGCCATTTAGCCATTTCATGACTTACAAATAAGACCATTAATCGGGCTAGATGAACCCAAATGATTGATGTTGCCATGGTGCTAAATACATATTTCCAGCAAAATATTGAGAGTGGGAGCACCTTGACACGCACACTTGCCCCACTTGCCATCCTTTGAACACGTGTGGGTTTCTCACACAGCATCCCCAATACTTCTATGGTTAGATCTCCACTTGCATTGAGCAACCAACTACGCTTTTCGAAGGCCCATGTGGGTTTGAGCTGTAATCTGATTGTAAATCCAAAAACTATAGAAAGCAAGCCCTCTTTATACCTTACTCTTTGACTATCCATAAAGAATTTTCGGTTCCATACTCTTGCATGAGCCTGTTGACATCCACATGGTTAATCTTCGTATAAATGGAATTTGTCCCGCACTACTACAACTGTAAGAGGCTTTGAAAATGCCAAAAGACGTTGGACTTACTTCATGGGCATAGCGGAACCTGTCTCCTAACTGGTCTCCCATCTTGTTAACAAAGTTTGTCTTTAATGTTTCTCTTAATCTAACTAGAAAAAAGCTCTATACTTTATTGGGTGCCCGAAATTCGTTTTAATGAACTCTCCTAGTGTGCTGTAACAGTAGAAAAAACAGCTGTCCTTGGATGAAATTATCATTGACCAGACAATATTTTGATGGCCCTTAGCTGTATGCTGCTGAAATCAAGGAATACTAGCTCAGCATAACAATGATTAATAATTATCGGGCGGAACAAGTTTCAGTTGAATCAGCACCAAAGCCTTGCGAGTTGACATTGCGTTAAATTTAGCACTACGGATGGTACCAATAACTACTCAATACCTTGAACAGTGACGAAAGCATCGTTTGTTGCTCAGTTCTTAATTTGTCAGCTGCATGAAATTTGAAACCTTTAGCATGCGAGCCCATAACCAAAGTCAAAGGACGCCTCCGAAGTGAATTGTCTGTTCTCCTGATTGTTTTATCCATTCATGTGATGAAAGCTTACTTGCAGCACGAAGCACTGTTTATCTTGATGAGCAATTGAGAATGAAATGCTGGAAAGAAATAAAAATAACTGTGCTGCAAAAATTTTACTGAAAATTATCATCATGTTCTAAATCGGAAGGAGATGGTCTTTTCAATGGCAGTTGACTTCCGAAAGAGAGTTTAGATTTTAATTCTGCATTAGCAATTCCTTTTAAAGGAGTTCTCGTCCGTTTCACACCTGGTCTTTGCAAAGGTATGAGAGAGGCAGATGGTGTGACCTTTTTAGCATCTATGTTGGAAGATAGAGATTGTAGTGGTTTCTGATAACGAGATAACTTCGGATTTCGGTCCAGATTTTCTTTATCATTGAGCCGGCTCTCGTTCCCTCTTACCCCCAGCACCCTTGGACTTGGCATTGATTCAATTGGTACAAGCTTCCCATCTACTTGGTTCGTGAAGACAAAAGAAACCTGCAAGAACATGATAATGAGTCCTTCAAATGGAAAGCCAAAAATATAGCAGATTGCATGTGAAGGATCAGACACAGGTGATGGTGGTATATCAGACTTTCAGACTTTTTGTGAAAACAAAAGTTCGATTCTGCACTCGGAACTTATGCAATATATTAATTTATTCCACCAGCATCTTGTTCTACTAAGCAAGCAAGGGAGTAGAAATCAAGGGAAAAACATTGATGAACTGCAAAAACAAACCTAGGATGGATTCACAGCGCACAATATGCTTAAACTCAAACAACATGCAGGATGAGAAAACTAAATCATATTTAATGAGTTCCTTTGTTGTGAAACATGGTAGAGCACATGCATTCTTTGACCGCAACTTTTCTACCATCAATTCTGAATAGATGCTTGCCTAGTTCTGATTTTTGGTAGCTGGTAAATACTTTATAGTATAATCAGTTGTTTAAATATTTCAGGAATTTATTGACCAAAACATATAGACTTCTATAGGAAGGTTTTCCTTTTTTTTAATTTTTTGGGACAGGAATCACATTAAATATGGGGAAATGTTGGGACACCTCATCACCAGCTGAAGCTTGAAGTATAGTATCAGGCACTGATGTCGAGTGGAAGTGATGCCCCCAGCTGCCCAAATCCTCTTCCAAAGGAGTCCCTACCTGAAAATTGAGGGAAAAGAACAAAAAAACAAAATCAAGTGGGACATCTGAAAGTTATGAGCCAATAATATTGCAGTGATTGGTAGGTGACTGACTTGCTTCTCTGAGCTCTTCAACTTGTCCAGGCATCCAGCAATTGCAGCAAAGCCACCTATATCGAACACCTCTTGATTGGGCATACAATTCTCATATGTAGATTCATCTACATCTCCTATGCCCTCAAGTTCCCCATCAGAAAACAGACAGCGGGCACAGTTCATCTTTACATGTATTTCAGACCTACACAGACAAATAAAGACGTTAAAAGGTAGATGGAACATGAGAATAAGTGGAGCAAATCGAAATGTGATATCAATGAACATTTAAACCTGCAATTCAGCGACACGAAAATAACATAACTGAACCATGTTATGCTGAACTAGCTATGCTTTACATGATACATGACAAGTCAACAATAAAAGCAAGCACAAAAAGTGATGCTTCATTAGAACATACAAAAAATCTCAGAAACGAATCTTTCAATTAGCTTGAATTGGCCATTGGCATAAACTTGCCTACAGCAACACGAACACAAAAAGGAATTTTTTGCACACTTTCACTTCTCAACCGGTGCTTAATTCATTGCTAATTTTTCAAAACCATTTTGTAAGTCCATTAAGTCCTTTGCCTACAGCGATCCAAAACCCTACATCCTTGGATTATTTTGCAAATATTGCAGGCATAATTTCAAAGGCCAAACACCCCCAAATAACTTTACCATAAAACTGCCAAATACATAAATGACATGTAAGTAACCATGACAAAATACTTCAACATATGCTACATGAATTACCTGACATTCTCCTGATATGTGAACAAATCACGTAAATCTTCAGTTGAAAGACAATTTTCCTGCAAATGCATGTACTTTAAATACCATTTTATTCAAAGGCAACTTCAGTTGAATAGCATAAAGAAGTGGCAGAAAAAAACAACCTGTGCCACAAGGCTATCATTTTGCTCATGCTGAATAACTTTTTGAAGCCCCTCTTTTGACATTTGACGCTGATAAACCTACAAAAGTCAGCAAACAGAATGACACACGTTGCTTATTGACAGAACTATCTTAGAAATGATGAAAGGAAAACGTTTGGTGACTATATTCTTAATATAAATTCAGTTGCAGCTCATCAAAACCTTTTCTTCGATGGTTCCAGTGCTCAGGAATCTGTAGATATATACCCTCTTCTTTTGTCCATCCCGCCAAACTCTTGCAGCTGCCTAATAATGTGAGGACAGAATCATGAAAACAATCAAATGTGAGATCAGCATACTACTTTCTAACTTGTGTGAATTGTGGTGGGGGTGTTTAACCAAAGAACATTACTTGCTTGTCATTGGCAGGATTCCAGTCAGGATCAAACAAGACAAGTCGGTTACCACCGATTAGATTGAGGCCACAGCCACCAGCCTTACTGCTTAAGAGAAATACAAACTCATCCTGCAGCATATTGAGTTAAAACAAATTGATCAGCGATCAAACCTGATGATTGCCCTTTTTCCCAAGCAGAAAACACAGCCTACATTGCAGACATATCAACTAGAAGGAAAAGAGAAGATACCTTTGATGGATCATTAAAGCGATTAACTAACTTCTGTCTTTTACTGATTGATGTGGTTCCATCAAGCCTTATATGAGGATATCTTCTTTCACGGCACAATTGAGCAAAAAGGTCAAGTGTCTGATGCATCAAAGTAATTTTATACCGTGAGGAAACAATAACAATTGCAGCTTCATGAAAAAAGCAGTCGATAAATGCTCAGTAAATGGCTTCAGTTGAAATAAGTTGTCAATGATAAATATACTTCTTACATCACTGTAAGTGAGTTCGACAGTGCAACCAAATCTATTTCATCTAGAAAACATAAATGTAAGTGCGCAGCAAGCACCCTTACACTAATAGGTTATTTTTTAAAAGAAAATCACCAAAAGATAGATGTGCAGAAATAAAAAGTTAAGATACCAATATTTAGACTATCCTATACTCTGTTCTTGCTTTCACATTGGATTAAAGCAATGACATGGGAAGGAAACATTTAAGCATTATCAGATACAATATTCAGAATCAACTAACAAATTGGAAAACTGGAGGCTATGGTACATATATAAACTGCTATCATAAAGTAATTTCTATACCACAATAGCGTGAATCATCAACAAAAACAAACGTACCTGAGTATAGTTTGAGACAAGTACAATGCGATCATCTGTTCTCAGATGTAGAT